GTGGGAAGAGTTTGGGGATGGCCCCTTCCTGTTCCAACATGACTGCGCACCAGTGCACAAAGCAAGGTCCATAAAGACATGGAGGAGCCAGTTTGGGGTGGAGGAACTTGACTGTCCTGCACAGAGTCCTGACCTCAACCCCATAGAACACCTTTGGGATGAATTAGAGCGGAGACTGCGAGCCAGGCCTCCTCCCCCGACATCAGTGCCTGACCTGACAAATGTGCTTCTGGAAGAAGGGTCCAACCTTCCCATAGACACCCTCCTAAACCTTGTGGACGGCCTTCCCAGAAGAGTTGAAGCTGTTATAGCTGCAAAGGGCGGGGCCAACTCAATATTGAACCCTACGGACTAAGAACTGGGGGGCCATTAAAGTTCATGTGCGTGGAAAGGGAGGGGTCAACTCAATATTGAACCCTACGGACTAAGACTGGGGGGCCATTAAAGGTCATGTGTGTGGGAAGGGCGGGGCCAACTCAATATTGAACCCTACGGACTAAGACTGGGGGGCCATTAAAGGTCATGTGTGTGGGAAGGGCGGGGACCCAATACTTCCAGCAATATAGAGTATAAGAGAATGGGAACGCCTTCCATATCTCATACATCTTTGCACCAAGAGATATTGGGGGGTTATTTACTAAAACTGGAGAGGGCAGAATCTGGTGCGACTCTTCATAGTAACCATTCAGCTTCCAGGTTTTATTGCCAAAGCTTCACTGGACCAGCTGACATTAGAAGCTGATTGGCTCCCATGCACAGCCAGATTCTGTGGGCTCTGGTTTTAGTAACCCCCCCCCCCCCCCCCCCAAAATTATACAATTGTAAAGGCCGGCAAGCAATGGTTCCATATATTTACTAATTTCCTGTAGAGTTCCTTAGAATTGTTACATTGTATCTCTTGTGTGTAGCAGTGTAGTAGCAGTCCCTACTACAGTGTTTTCCAGCTTCTAAAGGGATCCCACAGGTATGGTATGGGACAACACCTGGGAGCCAGTGAAGATCACGGTAGTAGAGGTATAGTAGTGGCATAGAAGCGGTGTAGTAGAGGAGTAGAAGTGGTGTAGTAGAGGAGTAGAAGCGGTGTAGTAGAGGAGTAGAAGCGGTGTAGTAGAGGAGTAGAAGTGGTGTAGTAGATAGTGAAAAGTATACTGAGGTGAGCATCGTCCATCCCTTCACTTGGATTGGCTTACAGTGGTGTAGTAGAGGTGTAGTAGTGTTGTAGTAGGAGTTTAATAGAGGTGTGATAGTGGTGTAGTAAAGTTGTGGTAGTGGTATAGTAGAGGGGTAGTAAAGGTGTAGTAGGGGTTTAGTAGTGTTGTAGTAGGGGTGTAGTAGAGATGTGGTGTAGTAGTGTTGTAGTAGAGGTGTAGTAGAGGTGTGATAGTGATGTAGTAGGGGTGTAGTAGAGGTATGGTAGTGGTGTAGTAGAAGTGTGGTAGAGGTGTAGTAGAGGTGTAGTAGAAGTGTGGTAGTGGTGTAGTAGAGGTGTAGTGGTGATGGTGTAGAGTTGCAGTAGAGGTGTAGTAGAGGTATGGTGGTATACTGAAGGTGTAGTAGAGGTATGGTAGTGGTGTAGTAGAGGTGTAGTGGTGATGGTGTAGTAGTGTTGCAGTAGAGGTGTAGTAGCGTAGCGGTGTGTACTAGTGTTGTAGTAGGGGTGTAGTTGTGGTAGTGGTGTAGTAGAAGTGTGGTGATGTAGTAGAAGTGTAGTAAAGGTGTAGTAGAGATGTGGTAGTGGTGTAGTAGGGGTGTGTAGTAGCGTTGTAGTAGAGGAGTAGTAGCGGTGCCTACTACAGTGATTTCCAGCTTCTAGGGGGATCCCACAGCTATGGTTTATACATAGTCGATAAAGTAACCATGTAGGAACTATCCATAGCTGGAATTCGGCATCAGGCTGGTTGCTGAGTGCAATGCGTTAGTAGTGGAGGTTCGGGTGATTATGACTTTGCGTCGGACGGATTATTACATTTATACTCTATCATACTACAGGTGAAACTCGAACAATTAGAATATGGTACAAAAGTTGATTTATTTCAGTGCAGCAACTTAAAAGGTGAAACTAATATATGAGACTCATTCCATGCAAAGCAAGATAGTTCCAGCCGTGATTTGTCATCATTGTGATGATTATGGCTTACAGCTCATGAAAACCCCAAATCCACAATCTCAGAAAATGAGAATATTCCATGCAATCAATAAAACACGGATTGTACATAGAACAATATTCAGGTCAGGCAAGTTTGCTGGCCAATCAAGCACAGTAATCCCACGGTCATTGAACCAGGTTTTGGTGCTTTTGGCAGTGTGGGCGGTGCCAAGTCCTGCTGGAAAATGAAGTCAGCATCCCCATAAAGCTGGTCTGCGGAAGGAAGCATGAAGTGCTCCAAAATCTCCTGGTAGACGGCTGCGGTGACCCTGGATCTAATGAAGCACAGTGGACCAACACCAGCAGATGACATGGCTCCCCAAATCAACACAGACTGTGGAAACTTCACACTGGACTTCAAGCATCTTGCAGTGTGTGCCTCTCCATTCTTCCTCCATACTCGGGGTCCTTGGGCCTCTCCATTCTTCCTCCATACTCGGGGTCCTTGTGCCTCTCCATTCTTCCTCCATACTTGGGGTCCTTGGGCCTCTCCATTCTTCCTCCATACTCGGGGTCCTTGGGCCTCTCCATTCTTCCTCCATACTCGGGGGCCTTGGCCTCTCCATTCTTCCTCCATACTCGGGGGCCTTGGGCCTCTCCATTCTTCCTCCATACTCGGGGTCCTTGTGCCTCTCCATTCTTCCTCCATACTCGGGGTCCTTGGTGCCTCTCCATTCTTCCTCCATACTCGGGGTCCTTGTGCCTCTCCATTCTTCCTCTCCATACTCGGGGTCCTTGGCCTCTCCATTCTTCCTCCATACTCGGGGTCCTTGGGCCTCTCCATTCTTCCTCCATACTCGGGGTCCTTGTGCCTCTCCATTCTTCCTCCATACTCAGGGTCCTTGGGCCTCTCCATTCTTCCTCCATACTCGGGGTCCTTGGGCCTCTCCATTCTTCCTCCATACTCGGGGTCCTTGGGCTTTCTATTCTCCTCCATTCTTCCTCCATTCTTCCTCCATACTCGGGGTCCTTGGGCCTCTCCATTCTTCCTCCATACTCGGGGTCCTTGGGCCTCTCCATTCTTCCTCCATACTCGGGGTCCTTGGGCCTCTCCATTCTTCCTCCATACTCGGGGTCCTTGGGCCTCTCCATTCTTCCTCCATACTCGGGGTCCTTGGTTTCCAAATGAGATGCAAAAGTTGCTCTCCTCAGAAAAGAGGACTTTGGACCACTGAGCACCAGATCAGGTCTGTTTATCTTTAGCCCAGGTAAGACGCTTCTGACGTTGTTTGTTGTTCAGGAGCGGCTTGACAAGAGGAATACGACATTTGAAGCCCATGTCCAGGATCCGTCTGTGTGTGGTGGCTCTTGATGCACTGACTCCAGCCTCAGTCCACTCCTTGTGAAAGTCCCCAACACATTTCAATGGCCTTTTCCTGACAATCCTCTCCAGGCTGCGGTCATCCCTGCTGCTTGTGCACCTTTTTCTTCCACACTTTTCCCTTCCACATAACTTTCTATTAATGTGCTTTGATACGGCACTTTGGGAACATCCAACTTCTTCTGCAATTCCCTTTTGAGGCTTTCCCTCCTTATGGAGGGTGTCAGTGATGGTGTCAGGTCAGCAGTCTTTCCCATGATTGTGATTCCTACTGAACCAGACTGAGAGACCATTTAAAGGCTCAGGAACCCTTTGCAGGTGTTATGGCTGAATGAGCTGATTAGAGTGGGACACTTTGAGCCGAGATTATTCCACCTTTTCACAATATTCTCATTTTCTGAGATTGTGGATTTGGGGTTTTCATGAGCTGTAAGCCATAATCATCACAATGATGACAAATCACGGCTTGAACTATCTTGCTTTGCATGTAATGAGTCTCATATATTAGTTTCACCTTTTAAGTTGCTGCACTGAAATAAATGAATGAATGCACCATATTCTCATTCTTCGAGTTTCACTTGTGTATTGGCTTTTCCACCCGAGTGTGGCACCCCCCCCCCCCCCAATCTTTGTAGGATGGACTCGGTTCTTGGTGGGACGTGGCGGGGGGGCTACTCTTCTGATGACAGAATGCCCCCCCGGGATGCGATCCCCCCCTTCTCTTGTAATGTACCAATCACCCTGTATTAGAGTTAGATGATATTTCTGCTGCAGCCACACACAGCAGACGAGTGAGAGATCCCTTGTCCCCGATTCTCGCTGTACGGAGAGGCTGAAGCCACTCTATGAAGGGATTCTTGTGAGATCGTTCCAGAATAAAGACTTCAGTTTATTCAATCATAGATCAGGTGACACCGGCGCCCCCTCCCGGGGGATCTCCTGGTGAAGGAGAAGGCAAGGAGGAGGCTGCCAGAGAAGTAATTGAGGTGACTGACCCCGAGCGCTGAGTAAACGCAGGTCCTCGGGGACCGTCAGTACATTGTACACACAGATGAAGCGTTCGGGGCTCGGCATGCGCAAAGCGCCGGCCTCTCACCTGCCACGCAGATCCGGGTTGTCCCTGAGTGTCGGTTCGGATGCCGACAGGAGTTTCTGAAGAACTTGCCGGGCTTCCTTCCATGCGTTGTGCCCCAGAGACATAAAACTATTCAGAGTCGGCTGTAAACAAGCAATAAAATATTATTTCTCATAGGACACCAATCAGCTCCAGGAAATATTCACTAAATTCCTGTATGCAGATCACAACAAGTTTCTTCTAACAACGAGACTCCTTGTAACGGGGTTTCTCAGCCAGGATTCCATGGAAGTCTAGGGTTCCTCCAGGGGTTGTAGGGGTTCCATGAGCAAGTTCTGCCTCTCAGGTTCCCACTGACACCATTGATCCATTTCATTATCTGTGAGGGGGGAATTCTTCCCACTGACCTCCAATGTAAGGGACATTCTTCCAACTGACCACCAATGTAAGGGACATTCTTCCAACTGACCACCAATGTAAGGGACATTCTTCCCACTGATCACCAATGTAAGGGACATTCTTCCCACTGACCCCCAATGTAAGGGACATTCTTCCCACTGACCTCCAATGTAAGGGACGTTCTTCCCACTGACCCCCAATGTAAGGGACATTCTTCCTACTGACCACCAATGTAAGGGACATTCTTCCCACTGACCCCCAATGTAAGGGACATTCTTCCCACTGACCACCAATGTAAGGGACATTCTTCCCACTGACCACCAATGTAAGGGACCTGACCTCCAATGTAAGGGACGTTCTTCCCACTGACCACAATGTGACACTGACCCCCAATGTAAGGGACGTTCTTCCCACTGATCACCAATGTAAGGGGACATTCTTCCTACTGACCACCAATGTAAGGGACATTCTTCCCACTGATTCTTCCCACTGAAATGTAAGGGACATTCTTCCACTGACCACCAATGTAAGGGACATTCTTCCCACTGATCACCAATGTAAGGGACATTCTTCCCACTGACCCTCAATGTAAGGGACATTCTTCCCACTGATCACCAATGTAAGGGACATTCTTCCCACTGACCACCAATGTAAGGGACATTCTTCCCACTGACCACCAATGTAAGGGACATTCTTCCCACTGATCACCAATGTAAGGGACATTCTTCCCACTGACCCCCAATGTAAGGGACATTCTCCCCACTGACCACCAATGTAAGGGACATTCTTCCCACTGACCACCAACGTAAGGGACATTCTTCTCACTGACCACCAACGTAAGGGACATTCTTCTCACTGACCACCAACGTAAGGGACATTCTTCCTACTGAGGGTAAAGCGCCCCCTGTATGGTGGTCAGTGGTCAACTGCAGATCTAAAAAGCATTGGTATCAGTGCCTTGAGGGCTAGTTCACAACAGATGCAGTCCAGTGCATTTTTAAGCTACCTCAAAAACGCATGAACAGTGTTTTCCATGTATTCCAATGGTCCTTGTTCACACCAGTGCAGTTCGTTCCAGTCAACAACAGTAGAACATGCTGTATTGTTTTCTGGAATGCAGCAAAAATCATCAAAAGAAAGGGAATAGTGCGACTCCCCCCAAATCTGTGTCAGTTGGATCGGCATGTGAACAGACTGGTGGAAGACAGACAGGATCGGCTCGTCAGGCTCTAGTAGACTTCAACAAAATGGAGGTCATCTGCACACAGGCACTGGCTCCCTGTTGCATAAATGTGAATGAGATGAGCAAAAGATGGCTTCAGCTCCTGTTCTTCCCCTATAGAGAACTTCTCAGACACGTTTCTTCCTTTTCAGACCTTAATAATAGCGGCCGCTATGATTAAACCCTGAAAAGGACGACACGCGTCTGAGGAGTTCTCTACAGGACCTGAAGACCAGGCAGGACAGCTTCAGGACCACTTTGGCACACATTGGACCCCAAACTAGGCTGCTGGGCCTTACAGCTGAGCTCCATCCAGCAGCACCTCCCCAGACCTCAGCCCAGGGGGGAGAGAGCGAGCACGTGCCCTGTCCAGGGGTGGACTGACAACTCATGGGGCCCCCGGGCAATAGGGGATCATGGGGCCCCTGTGTCCTTGCCCAAACTCAAAAAAGCCTATGAAAAAGGTACCATGGGCATCTCATGGGGCCCCCTACTGACCCCGGGCCTTCGGGCAGTGCAAAATGGTTAGGCTGTCCCTGGGTCCTGTACCAAATATTTATAACCCCCAGCGTGCACCATGACCATGAACCCTTCGCCATCTCCTGGCATCAGAAACCTCTTAAAGGGACTGGAGGCGTGGCATTTAGGGGTTACCATAGTAGCCCCCTGTTTAGGGCAAAGGGGCTACACTACGGAGAATTGCTGAAAAGCAGGAACTGCTTCGAGACAAAGATTTGAAAACAGGGACAGGCACTGGACATCAGTATCTCCCATCTGTAACTGGTCACACAAGACTTTCCTCACATACGGTCTGTTAGATCAGCAAAATTTACCAACAAGGATGTGGAGTTTGGGCCAATCTTGATGGACTGTTCAGGTTGATCTCACGTTTCTGGGAAATTTTGCTGATGCAGGAGATCAGATCCAAGGAAAACCTATCTGATGCAGGCTTTCTCAAACCTCTCTATCCCAGAGGAGCCTAATGCAATGACTTTCCTTGCTCAAGGAACCCCCGATAATAATTACTACATCTACCTCTAAGGGGACATTCGTGTGGTGGTCACCGAATAGGATGCCCCTTAGATTTGTGGTTATTGGAAGAGTCCCACCTTGCAAAAAAGAACATTAGTGTCCATGGTTCATCATCTGAGAGGCAGAAGATACTCAAGGAACCCCCAAAAACCCCTGTAGGAACTCTAGAGAAACCCTGGTTGATGATAGCTGATCTATTGTGTACTTCTAAGGGGACTTTCGTGTGGTGGTCACCGAATAGGATGCCCCTTAGAGTTGTGGTTATTGAAAAAGTCCCACCTTGCTAAAAAGAACATTAGTGTCCATGGTTCATCATCTGAGAGGCAGAAGCTGCTCAAGAAACCCCCCAAAAACCCCTGGAGGAACCCTTTTAGAAACCCTGGTTGATGATGGCTGATCTGTTGTGTGGTCAATCTTAGTAGATGACATCTGTCCATTGTTTCCTGGCTGAATGAGTCTCAGACTCATGGCGAGCGTTCCTATTCCAGAAACAGCCCAACTTTTTGTACTGTACCTCATTAAATACGGCCCGGTGTGCTGACAAGAACGGCCCATTGAAGAGATGTCTGATGACGCTCAGATCCAGGATTTGGTCTCCAATGGCCACTCCTATCCGATGTTGCGGCTGGAAAGTTAGAGAATCATTTTAGTGAATCTGCATCTGAATTTATTTAATATCTCTGTGTATCCTTCTTGTGAATACACGGAACAATTACGGGGATAATTTCACCTTCTGTGAAGGAATTAACCTTACACATTTGTTCTGGGAAACTCATCTACTTCCACCCCTCTCCAGAGGAAGGAAGATGTACTACAAATGCTGAGAACTTCTACCACTCACCACCCCCACCTCTTCCCTAGAGGATCCGATCTTCAGTGAAGGAAGGAAGATGTACTATGAATGCTGAGACTTCTACCACCCACCACACCGCCTCTTCCCTAGAGGATCCGATCTTCAGTGAAGGAAGGAAGATGTACTACAAATGCTGAGACTTCTACCACTCACCACCCCACCTCTTCCCTAGAGGATCCGATCTTCAATGAAGGAAGGAAGATGTACTACGAATGCTGAGACTTCTACCACCCACCACACCGCCTCTTCCCTATAGGATCCGATCTTCAGTGAAGGAAGGAAGATGTACTGCGAACGCTGAGACTTCTACCACCCACCACACCGCCTCTTCCCTAGAGGATCCGATCTTCAGTGAAGGAAGGAAGATGTACTGCGAACGCTGAGACTTCTACCACCCACCACACCGCCTCTTCCCTAGAGGATCCGATCTTCAATGAAGGAAGGAAGATGTACTACGAATGCTGAGACTTCTACCACCCACCACACCGCCTCTTCCCTATAGGATCCGATCTTCAGTGAAGGAAGGAAGATGTACTACGAATGCTGAGACTTCTATCACTCACCACACCGCCTCTTCCCTAGAGCAGTGGTCGGCAAGCCGCGGCTCGCGAGCCACATGCGGCTCTTTACAAGCTTAAATGCGGCTCTTCTGTGTGCCGGGCGCCCGCTCCCCTCCCCTCCCCTCCCTCCTCTCGGCGGCCCCGCCCCAAAAAAAGTCAGGACTCTGCAGCTGTCAGGATGTAGGCGGGGCAGCCAGGATGTAGGCGGGGCAGCGTGACGAACTCCTCTCCTCTCACAGTCCCCCTGAAGACCAGAACGGTGCGGGAAGCACGACGAGAGGAACGCGCGGAGCAAAAAAGGTAAGTGAATTGACACAGGGGGGACTTACTATATGGGGGGATGAATTTCTATATGGGGGACTTACTATATGGGGGGGGACTTACTATATGGGGGATGAATTACTATATGGGGGGGGACTTACTATATGGGGGATGAATTACTATATGGGGGGGGACTTACTATATGGGGGGGGACTTACTATATGGGGGACTTACTATATGGGGGGACTTACTATATGGGGGGGGACTTACTATATAGGGGGGGACTTACTATATGGGGGATGAATTACTATATGGGAGATGAATTACTATATGGGAGATGAATTACTATGGGGGATGAATTACTATATGGGGGATGAATTACTATATGGGGGATGAATTACTATATGGGGGATGAATTACTATGGGGGATGAATTACTATATATGGGGATGAATTACTATGGGGATGAATTACTATATGGGGGATGAATTACTATGGGGGGGATGAATTACTATGGGGGGATGAATTACTATGGGGGATGAATTACTATGGGGGATGAATTACTATAGGGGGGATGAATTACTATATGGGGGATGAATTACTATATGGGGGATGAATTACTATATGGGGGATGAATTACTATGGGGGATGAATTGCTATATGGGGGATGAATTACTATGGGGGATGAATTACTATATGGGGGATGAATTACTCTATGGGGGATGAATTACTCTATGGGGGATGAATTACTATGGGGGATGAATTACTATATGGGAGATGTATTTTCAGTTTTAAAAATGTGGCTCTCAAAATAAATTTCAATCGTGGTTTTGGCGAGATTTGGCTCAGTTGAAAAAAAAGGTTGCCCACCACTGCCCTAGAGGATCCGATCTACAGTGAACGAAGGGAGATGTACTACGAATGCTGAGACTTCTACCACCCACCACACCGCCTCTTCCCTAGAGGATCCGATCTTCAATGAAGGAAGGAAGATGTACTACGAATGCTGAGACTTCTACCACCCACCACACCGCCTCTTCCCTAGAAGATCTGATCTTCAGTGAAGGAAGGAAGATGTACTACGAATGCTGAGACTTCTATCACTCACCACACCACCGCCTCTTCCCTAGAGCAGTGGTCGGCAAGCCGCGGCTCGCGAGCCACATGCGGCTCTTTACAAGCTTAAATGCGGCTCTTCTGTGTGCCGGGCGCCCGCTCCCCTCCCCTCCCCTCCCTCCTCTCGGGCGGCCGCCCCAAAAGTCAGGACTCTGCAGCTGTCAGGATGTAGGCGGGGCAGCCAGGATGTAGGCGGGGCAGCGTGACGAACTCCTCTCCTCTCACAGTCCGCCCTGAAGACCAGAACGGCGCGGGAAGCACGACGAGAGGAACGCGCGGAGCAAAGGTAAGTGAATTGACACAGGGGGGACTTACTATATGGGGGATGAATTTCTATATGGGGGGACTTACTATATGGGGGGGGACTTACTATATGGGGGATGAATTACTATATGGGGGGGGACTTACTATATGGGGGATGAATTACTATATGGGGGGGACTTACTATATGGGGGACTTACTATATGGGGGGACTTACTATATGGGGGGGGACTTACTAATATGGGGGATGAATTACTATATGGGAGATGAATTACTATATGGGAGATGAATTACTATGGGGGATGAATTACTATATGGGGGATGAATTACTATATGGGGGATGAATTACTATATGGGGGATGAATTACTATGGGGGATGAATTACTATATGGGGGGATGAATTACTATGGGGGATGAATTACTATATGGGGGATGAATTACTATGGGGGGGATGAATTACTATGGGGGGATGAATTACTATGGGGGATGAATTACTATGGGGGATGAATTACTATAGGGGGGATGAATTACTATATGGGGGATGAATTACTATATGGGGGATGAATTACTATATGGGGGATGAATT